GTGTATTTTATGACCTCTCCACATGTATCCTTGGAGGCCAATCCTGGAGTTTGATTTCCTAGGATCTGGGCAAGTCCTAGATCTTTTCTTTGTCTTAGTTTCCTTCATTGGATAAATGGGATGGAAGACCTCCCTTCCCGAAGTGTTCTCACATTTCAGATATATGTTGGAACACTCCTGGCGTCACCGTAAAAGCACCTGTCAGTTCATTCCTGTCCCCTAACTAACTAGCTTGAATCTGCTGCCCATTACTTGCTTTGGGAAACAGCACTGAACAAGTAATTCATGTTATATGATTCTGGCTACTGGCATCTCTAACCTCTGCAGAGACTTAAAAGGATATGTTCCCTGCCCCCCACCCCCCGTGTGGATTTGTGTGTTCATGTGTACTCCCATCTTGAACCAGGTATAGAAAGACAAACATCACATCTTTTTACTCACAAATCATTAGGAAAGAGCTGGCCTCACAGAAGTAGAAAAGAGAATAGTGTTTATCAGAATGTGGACTGTTTGGAAGAGTGAGAAATCTGTGCAATATTGATTTAAGAAAAAAAAAGACACAAAATTCAATAGGAGGGATAAATTAAGAGACTTATGGTATATAGTATTTAGTTCTTAGTGTATTGAAGTCTGGAAAAATGCTTAGAGAATGGATATCGTGTTCTTTCCACAAACATGAGAGCCATGTGACATAATAGGCATGTTAGATCTCATCATTTCATAAATAATATACTTCATAACAATATGTCATTCTTGATTTGTACAATTTGATCTGTCAGATTTATAGAAAGATTAGACAAAACCTATGTCCTCTGAATGAACTATGATTGCTCTTGGGACAAGAGATTTGGTTCAGGTGACAGAATGACCATCTAACTAACACATATATGTAGCTTAAGGTTTGATCTCTAGCAAGGCATAAAACCATAAATGCGTAAGTAATGCTTATTAGTCCAGCACTTAAGAAGGAGGATCATAGTCCTTGGTCTATAGAGCAAGCTTCAAGCTAGCTAGGGATACCTGAGGCCCAGTCTCATATGAAAGAAAACTAGCTGATGGGGAGATAGTGTCTGTCAATCACTGATCAAAGGTGGGACTAGTGACAGCAGACATCTAGGCGGTGGTACTTTGTTATTTCCTCCCTTGCTGCAGGTTCCTGGCAGTGGGGCTCCAGGCTTTAAGCATTGCCCAGTGCTGGGTTGGAAACTCTTCTTGCCAGTCAGGATCTTGAACTTGACCTCAGGTGGAAGTGAACATTGTTTTCTGAGGATGGAGGCGGAGCTCAGCAGACTATGAGTCATGGTTTTACAACTGTGTTTGCCCTTTTAGAATGGAAGCAGAGTCACGCTTGCATAGAAGCTACAACACAGCTGGATTTTTGGTCTTCTATTTGTTGGGCACTTCCATAACGCCATTAGTCTTCCTAAATTGTTTCCCCTGGTCCTTTCAGTCCTTGTCCTTTTGACGGCAGTAGGTTTCAGCCTTCAGTTTGCAAATGATAATCCAGGAAGCTTGCTGGTGTGTAGAGATGCCTGAGCTACACTGAGAGGGAGAGAATTATGAGGTCCCTTCTGGTTGCTGTACGATGAAGCATTGGTGATGATTGCAATGGTCACCAGGAACATCTGGTTTTTCTGGCTCCTCATGACTCCTTTCTTACTTCAGTTTTAGAAAAACGTGTGTGTGTGTGTGTGTGTTTGGGTGCAGTGCCTTGGTCTCTGCTGATACCCAATCTCCCCACACTTGACTCTCAGCTGCCTGGCTTTCTGCCTGGCTTTCAGAATCTCCATCATCTAGACCTTTATACCCCTTATCCCAGGGCTCTGTTTTCTTCTTTCTGTTTCAGCTTCAAGAAGATGCTTGCTTTGAACCCATAGAATCAAGCCTATCTCCACTAAGGCATTCATCATTTGTGGCTGCTGCCCCTCACTCTCCCAGCTATGGCACTTTGAAATATGGCTTTCAGTGGACTCTCTCTGCCCAAAACCCACTGGGATCCTGATCTTCTCTGACCAGGCCATGTAGGGCCTACACTAGATTAAACTTTGATAGTCTTGTATTGTTACACTTCATTCTTCCAAAGTTATCTAACTTTACTCTTGAAGTCTTGACTCCCTAAATAGCTTGTGCACTCCAGGAATGACCTCCATTTGGCACTCTTTTACTATAGTATCTTAGCATTGGCAGGCACTTGAGAATCAAGTTTTTGGAGTTGGTTAGCTTGGTGGTGTGCTGGTTAGGGAGTAGAAAGGGAAACCAGAAGCAATCATTTAAGAATCATACGTCCATCTCTTCTGTAGTCTATCCCACTCTGCCTTCCACCTTCTAGGACAGGCCTCTTTACTTCATGGCTGGCCCAGTTCAAATGTAATTTGGTATTATAATGTATAATGATGAAATCAGAGCAATTGGCTTTTCCAACTAACCATCAGTTGAGGAAACCAATGTATAAGTCAACGTGGGCCACAAAGAATTATAGCCATTTCCGCACTGTCAAGTTGACTGGATTTAAAATCACTTATTAGATACAGCTCTGGGTATATCTTGTAAAAGGATCTTTTGTTGTTAATTGTGTTGACAATCGTATTCGTGTATATAATGCATTCTCATTGCCTGTGACTCTGTCTTCTTTTATCTTCTTCCCATCCTGGTGAACTCTTCTTCTCTCTCCTGACATGGGGGTTCTTTCTCCCATGTTTTTGCTGTTATTGTTTTCTTTTGTGGCACCTTGAGTTTAATCTTGGACATCTGAATAACCACAGATATAAAACTATCATGTACTGTTGGTTGTCTAATGGGTAGTCATTTGAAGATAATGATTCCCATCCCAGAGAATCCATCAGGATTTTAGCAAGGAGAGGTGGACCTCATGAGACCCTCTTGCATCCACCAATTGCTGCTGACAAATTCTGTCTTGTGCAGGCTCAGGGCATCCTTATCTGCTGTAAGATGATTATAAGGACATTTCGTGATTCTTCTCCTACCTCTTAATGTTCTCACCACCTTTCAACCTTACCCCAGGGAGAAACAAGGTTCTAACCAATGAACTATTCCAATCCATAATAATTCATTTTGAGTGTTTTGGGTACCCTAGATTCATATGAGAGACCTACCTTTATCTGCCATTGACCTTGGCTGACATTCTTCTCCTGTCTTCTCCTACTCCCTGTTGATGGATTCTGGGTGACTTAGTCTTGTTTTATGATGAGCACCCTATCCCCATGCTGGGGACTGTGAGAGCATCTCCCTGGTGTGGAGCCTACAATGAGGCCAATGAGTCATAACTTGCAGCCACCTTTCATTTCATGAGTGTTGTCATACTCTTTTTCAGAATGACTGTACGAACTTACACTTCTATCAGCCATGCTCAGTGGTTTCTGTTTCCCCATGGCCTCACCAGCACCTGGTATGATAAGATGTGCCTTTACTATGAGGATCATGTTGGGCTCCTGGGTTGGGTCTTGTGTTGTACATCTTACTTGCCAAAGGAAAAAAAACCTTGTGAAAAGAAATATCAGGTAGGCAGACTATCTTTTATTAGAGAAAACCAACCTTTACAGAATTTTCCAATAGACTTTGCCTAATCTGTGTTATTGTGTAGCTTGCGGTGGGTGTCCTACTACCCAGTCTCCATCAGAGATGACAGGATTGCTGTGGCTTCTTGACTCTTCTGATTATCAAACAGTTCTTTTGAGCACAACCCTCTCTGTCCTAAACCTATAAAGAGCTGGGACTATTTTAATAAACAAGCAGGCAGAGGCTAACTGGCTACTCAGCAACCAATGGTCTACATCAGTTGATCACTGTGGCGAATTTCTGAGGTGCACACTGTCTGCTCTGTGCCACTAATCTTCCCCAGATCTGTATGAGTAACCATTTTCAGAGTTCAGAAAGCGCTGTGTTAACAGGTACTTGCCCATTACCATGTGGGATTAGATCTGTCTGGCTCATTTGAGAAACCTAATGTTCTTTAGAAATTCTTCAAGCCAGTCAGACATCAGACCTGTTCCCGCCCTAGCTGTTTGAGCTGAGGTTTCTGCATGGTCCCAATGAGAGAAGGCAACAGAAAGTTTCAAGGGCAGAACACCACAACACTGGCCCTATGCCACAACAGGTGGGGAGGAACACCTGTCAGGGGCTAGGATCTCTGCAGGTAGCTGCTTTCGCTTCCTACTCACCGCATGGATGCTCTGGAAATCCTTGCATTTTCTGTCTGACCAAAGGGGAAAACCACTAATTTTTAAGTGATACCCAATTGTTAAGGCTGGTTGAGTACTTGCTGTCTGCCAGCTGGCTTGGTGACTGTTCCATTCCCATGTTCTCATAGAAGTCTCCAGACAATCTTCCATGAGCCTGTCGTGTCAGGGCAAAACCTAGGTTCCAATAAGAAACCTGCTTCCAGACTGTGAGTCTGCTTCAGTGACAGAGTACTTGCTTGGTATCCACAAAGTCCAGTTAAAAAGAATTTCACTTCTGGCATTTACTAGCAGGGTAGCTTTAAGCAAGTAACCGCACGGAGATATCTTTTGACTTGTGCACCAAAGATAATAGTGGTACGTTTCAAGTACTCAGTGGGTTAATAATATAACTAGCTTAGAACACATCCAAATGTTAGACAAGTTTTACCATCTTTTAAAAAAACAGAGAAATTGAAAGGTTTGGAGTCAACTTACCAAATACTAGACAGCTCTGATTAGCAGAGCCACAATTAAAGTCCAGGGTGCCTTGTTCCAGAGCTGAGCTTTTAAGCAGGTATAGAAAGAATTCCAGGGACTAGCTCATTTGAGAAACCTAATGTTCTTAAGAGGCAAAGTATTCCAGGGACTAGCGTCTAGCGTCCTGACTTTATTCTGGGTGTCAAGGAAGGCCCTGGTCCCCCCTACTCAACACTCCTCACATAGTACCTGACACTGTCTAAAGCACCATGTGATTGTGTACTTCCTCAGTATCCCGGGATATGTGATGATAACAGTATTCCTGTTTTAATTTTTCAGATGAGGAGCATTGACTTAAGAGATGCCAAGTAACTCAGCAGATGTCACATAGATGATTAATAGCAAAGATGGAAGTCTTCATGCTAGAGGCAATTCTGTAAGACAGCTGAGTCCTTCAGAGCTGGTAGGTAAGTGTATACCTGCTAGAATGCAATGTACCTAGAGATGATAATAAACAAAGTGTTGGATGGCCAGTGTCTTTTCTCTTGACTTTCTAACTTCTGACTTTTTTTTTCTCCCCTATAGGAGACAGACTTGCTCAGGTGATAGATCCACTCATGATATTGGCCCTAAGAGAATGAGACACTCTGTAGAAGACATAGAAGATTCCTGAAACTGGGAAAGGTACCTAGAAACCTGGAGAAGAGTGAAGAAGACATCTTCCCTCCCCTACCTAGGCATCTTGCATCATGTTCAATATGTTCTATAGGGCTCTGGCCATTGGCTGAGCTGTCTTCTTTCAATTTAGTTGGATGGAATATTAGTCTGGAAATTTTACTTTCAATTAAACTCACTTGTTGAACTCTCTCGATCTTCAAAGAATCCCACTAGGGTAATTATAGCCATTGCAACAAGGCATTATTTGCACTCAATTTCAGCTTTTAGGCAATTCAGTTCAAATGTTTTATGTTTTTATGATTTGGAGGTGTGTATAGCCATCATTTTCTTACGTTGCAGACTTCCCATGATCTGTTTTTAGAAACCCAAATCACAGCAGCAGTTTTGACCATCTCTGGTCTAGCCTAGTGTCTCTGGCCTTATATTTTAATAAAAACCAGCCAAAGACACAATGATGAATGGACCAAGAATGCAATCCACTTCTTTATAGCATCAAGTGTTTGGAAACTATAAGCTGTCCTTTATATCATAGCATCTCTTGGCAAACTAACTAAAGCCAAAGGCAGTGAGAATTTCTTCCAAATAGCACAGATTTGTTCTTCTGCTAACTGTTGGCCACAGTTTTGGTATTTCAAAATGGCAGCCATGACAGAGTTTAGTAGAGAATCTGTTTTGATGTCTACATTTCCCATGAAATAGAAACTGTTTTTTTTTTCCTTTTGTATATGCATGTATATGTGTATATGTGAAAATATGTATATAAATCTCACATGTCACAGCAATGGGATCAAAAGATAGCTTTCTGGAGTTGGTTTGCTCCTTCCACGATGGGTTCTGGAATACAGCTCAGCTCATTAGGTGTTAATTCCAGTATATTACCCTCTGAGCCATCTTTGTCCTGAGATCCCTTTCTTTGTATTCATAACTCTATCCTCTTTAATTCTTAAGCCGCAGACAGGTAGCCTACCTCATGTTTCCCAACACACTCTTTCCCCAAAAGTTTAGACCTCAGATTGTGGACCAGGACTGTATTGTCTCCCATAACATGCCTACCTCAGAATAGGTACTTGCATGATGAGTGGATAGAAAGATAGATAGATAGATAGATAGATAGATAGATAGATAGATAGATAGATAGATGGACGAATGAATCCTCAAAGTACGATTTCTATTTTCTCCTTTTTAAAAGTCAGTATTTTATTATATAACTATTGAATGAGTGTTTCATCTTAGAATCATAAACCTAGAACTTTCCGAAGAAGGTGGAGATGCTTTTAATGCATCTGTGCTGATCGTTGTCTCATCCTCATCTCTGTATAGGGAATAATTTGTCATCATTTTGGAGTACATCTTTCTTTTGTATTTATGTATACATCCACACAGAGAACTGCCAACTTGTGAGTGGATTGCTTTGCTGTAAATGTTTTTCCACGTAGGAGTCTGTCGAGCTTGATGACATGTAGGAGCCCCCTTTCCCTTTGTTAACTGTTACAAGCTATTATCATGCTAGCTGGATTTGCCGCTTCTGATCTGAACCAAATGGAATTGTGTTTGTAGGTATATACGCATGTGTGTGCAGTGCATGAAGACACCAGATCCTAATTATGGATGCTATTTCTTAAGCACTGTTGATCTTGTGTTTTTGTGACAGGTTTCCCATTGACTTGGAACTTGTCAATTAGGTTATGCTGGCTGGCCAGAAAGCTGCAGGAATTCTCTTGTCTTGGTCTCCTGGCATTGGGATTAAAGTAGGTACCACCATGTATATTTTTTTCCTACGGGTTCTGATGATCAAACTTAAGTTGCTAAATTTGTAAGGCAAGGGTTTATCAACTGAGGTATTTCCCTAGTCATTCAAAACATTTTTTTTTAGTCTGTATTTTTAGTCACTCTATTTCCAGATGCTTTTCTTTGTATAACTTGACCACCTTGCCACAGAGTATTTTATAGTAGCCACACCACATTTCACCAGAATTAGCTGCTTTGGGGATTATGACAAAGAAGCACACAGAATTAGGCAAAATTCTGAGGCCTGCCAAAGAGACCAAATATCACTTGTCCTAAATCTAGGGCTTTGGGCCCCAAGTATTCCATAATAGTGAATAGCAAATGAATAACATACAATAATTTTCTCTAGACCATATATTTTCATCTGCATAGTGATTTCAACGAATCTTTTGAAAGTATTAGGCAGAATAATCAAACTTCCATAGTGTCACTGGAATTCCCATATAGAACATACCAGTAACTGTCCCTCCACTATGTATTGGAATGAGGAAAAGTACCCCAGCCCACTGCTTAGCTGACACAAGTGACACAGACAGTCTACTATAAGCCCTGGCCTGATGCCTCTATATTTTACTCTTCTTTCCAGATATTTTACCATAATTTATAAAGAAGTTTTGTGTGGTTTGTTTAGTTTCAGCAAACCTATATTTCATTCTGGTTACTCTCATTTCTATTCTATCCTACATGTCTCCCATCCTTGTCACCTTCCTTCCTTCCTGTACCTCCTTTCTCACATTTATGTCCTTTTGTTTTGCTTGTATACCCACTCTGTTTACACAGGTCTGTCCTTCTGTCTCTGTAGCCACAAATTTCCAACTATCCACTGTGAGTACATGACTAAAGACAATGTCTGCTTTTCTGGAATCTTCCAGTGTCCAATATTTCTACAGGGAAGGATATGGTCCTTGGAGTCTCTCATCCATCCATGATTGACTGACGATAGGCCCAGTTTTGTAAGGATCAGAGTAGGGAACCACAGCAGCCATGCAATCATGATTGCAATGTCTGTTTCATGCCCAAACAATAGTATTCACAACCCTTTTCTGTATCTTCTGGCTTTACATTCTCTTCACGCCATCTTCTGGGACATTCTCTGAGCCTTGGGGGACAATGTTGTAATTCTATAGAATACTCAACCATTATGTGTTTGTTCTCAGCACCCTCTGAAACCAAGAATCTCTGTATTTAACACAGTTAACTGCAAAGAGATACTTCTCTGATTAAGGCCAGGCATACCATTTGTTTCTGTGTATGTATGTGCACGTGCTTAAAAAGCAGCTTGACTCCATATCCCTTAATTAAATAACTGTAGTAAAGTTCCCTGTGTAGCCTAAGACCTGAGTGATATGGACCTTCTGTGAGGAAGGTTTCAAGTCCAGTCAGGGAGTAGTTGGTTATCACTGTATCTGTCATACCGCTATTGTACCACATGGGTGTCTCTTAACTAGCAGACTCATAGGGGTCACAGATGCTGAAAGAGTTGTCTTTTCTTTCTCAGCAGCTGGCAAAGCACCCTTTCACAGCACTATGAAAGATATCCAACAGAAAGCAAGTCTCCACCTCTCTTCCAGCTTTGCTTTCTCTTCATCTCATAACTGAGATGTATGATGTCTTCAGCAGTGGTATCAGCAAGTTCTGGTGAGTAGCTGTTAGCAATGTCAAGAGCTTCCTTAACAAGCAGCACCTAGTGATGGATCTCACATCTGTTATGGTGCTTTTAACAACATTGCTTTTGAAGCAGCATTATCCGGTTGTAGGTGACCTAGCCTTTTTGATTTTTTTAACAGTATTTTAAATTGACTTACAAAGTGGTAGGTTTCCATATGGTTTTTGCATACAGTTGTTTCAGTTAATTCTCACCTCTCCTGTCTCTTCATTACCCCATGTCCCAAACCATCTCTTAAATCTTTTTATTCTTGCTATTCTCCCTTTCTACTTTCATATCGCCTGTGCTTTGCCAGTCTCCCTCCGTTATGTTGTCCTTCTCCCAGTTCTGACTTCCATTGTCACTCCACGATAAGCACACAATGTAAAGATTCAAAGACAGGACCCATGTGTGCCTGATATAGTGAAGGACAAAATATCTGGCAAAATAACATGAAAAGTTAAAAACCACCCCCACTAGGAATATTTCACCTTGTGTTTCAAGTTTCCCCTCACCTGCTGATAGGTCATCTCATGAGTCTATGACAAGACTTGCGAGACCACCAAAGCCCAGGAGGACTTGTTTCACAAGAGAATTTTCAGGTGTTCTAGACCTTCATGACACATCCCAAGCCCTTCAGAGAGCCACAAGAATGGCCCAGAAGAAATTCTAAACCACTATGACTCATGGGTAGGCTTTTCTATCCTGAAACCTAAGCTATGGGGTATTCCCCCTTTGTGTAGCTGAGGGCCACAAGGATCACTGGCAGTTCTTCATATGCCTAAGGTGGGTTGCCTTATCAGGAAAGGTTTGCCGTACCATGAGGCAGGAAAACTCTGGCCCTTTGTCTGTAGTTGATGTGATCACAAGTGAGAGGTCATACTGAGGAAAAAGGAAAGGTACACAGGAGTCGTAACTCTGTGATATCTGAGGGTTCCGAGAGCCTCCACTCCTGAACACCCCTTTGCTTGTGTGTTCCCTGGGTTGAGCAGATTTCCATAGGAATGAGCCCGTACATTTCCCTGTATACAGATGCTATGGACACACAGCTAAACCTCTTCCATTCTCTGCTTCCTACCAATTGGGTCCACTAGGAAGCATGCTATGCAGTAGACACTCATGCTATGCGATAGGCTCGCTACCCATTCCTTTTCCTTTTTAATTGGGAAAAACAAAACAAACCATAATTTTTCTGTGTGTGATGGGACGTGTCTATTATTCCACGACTTGTGAGCAGAGGTGGGAAGATCAAGAATTCCAGACAAGCCTGGGTTACGGTGCAAAACCCTATCACAAAACATAACTCTAGAGGTCTTGAATTACAGACAACTGGAAGAGACATACACATAACGGGAACGAAGGGAATGAAGATGATTTCATTGGCAAAGTGTACCTGGCCAGTTGATATGAATTAGCGAATGATGGGATGCTTGCTGCTGTTAATAGCTGACTTTCACGATGACATGTATTTGAGCATCTTCTACGTCAATTCAGATCAATCCAACTTGTCTCCTCTCACTCTGTATTTCATATTCTCAGCCCTTCTACCATGTATATTCACAACTGGTAAACTTTCAAAAGTAAATCCACCTTATGATTCATAAGTCCTTCATGGGAAAAACTATATGTTGGGAATACTCAGACATAAATTTTTTGACCTCTTAAATTCAACTTATACAAACGCCTTTCTTCCAGGGGCTTCCTTGAAGAATAATACTTGGGGTACACACACACACACACACACACACACACACACACACCAGAGCACTGGTTGAGCTTGGTTGACACCCGCTGTTCTAATCTCCTTCTGTGAGTAGCATACCTTTCCTCCATCAGAAATGTCCCAACAGGGAAGAGCTCAAGTTCTGGACAGATTGCACTTAAAGGCAGAGATTTTCATTTTCTCCCAAGTATTTCTGTACTGCGAGTCCCCTGAAAGGAATTAGGAAGTAGAGGTTCCCAGGTTGACTGGGCTAGTAAGCACATTATTAATCTCATACTCAGTGGATGTCCACTTCCTATTGATGTTTGCATGCTGGAAGCCCATCTGGCGACTTTGCTTTGTCCCTAACAAACATCTGAACTTCAAGTGGTTCACTTTGGTTTCACAGAAGCAGTCAGTCCTCTGCCATCTAGCTTCTAGCTGTGACTAAGTTCCCCCTAATTTGTAAAACTTAAAGAATGAAAAGCAAAGGTTGCTTGGCACCCATCTCTTTAAAAATGGAAGTGAGTGTTGCTATTCTTCAGCTTCCCAGCTCCACCACCCATTCTTGTTTTCTCTCCTTTTGCTTTCTATTTCCTTAGACCTCATATATATATATATATATATATATATATATATATATATATATATATATATATATATATATGCACATATCTGAACAAGTATATTGAGCATGTAAGAACTCCAAGAGCATTAAAGTTATTTATAATCTCATGGTCCTTTGTAATATACCAGCAATTATCCTATATATAACTGATGGCTGGCATTCTATAGCTTTTCCACACCCAAACCCACATAGATGTCATTCAGTTTTTCCCATCCCTGGTTTACTGTCAGTAATGCCTGTGTTATTCCATAACTTGTCAATTATATTTTGAAATTTTCTTTTTTCCAAATTCTTGTTAGCAAAAAGTTAGAACTTCCTAACCCTTTTTTGCCCCTTCCTGTGTATATAATTTTCTTTCTAAAATGTTCTGTATTCAAAAATAATGACAGAAGTAGAGCCATTGGATCAAAGAATGTGAATGTTGTCACAGTGTGTGTGTATTTGTGTTTTAATAAGTCAACTTGTTTTCCTGAATAGGTATAGATATGTCAAGAAATACATTGAGAGCTGCACACTAGTGGCACATGACTTTAATCTCAGCACTCTGATCTCTGAGTTTAAGATCAGTCTGGTCTACAGAGTTCCAGGATATCCAGGGCTACACAGATATACCCTGTCTTGAAAAGTCAAAAAACAAACAAGCAAACAAACCAACAAAGAAAAACCCAAAAAAAACACTGAGTTCCTGGTTTCCTTTCCCCTCACCCTATCTTATCTATCTTATTACTAAATATTACTAATATCTTGTACTACAGTGGTATATTTGCTAAAACTTATTAGGCAGTATTAATCCCTTATGAGTGACCAAAGGTTCATTACACTGGGGGTCATTACTCCTGTCCTGTGGGCCTACAGAGCCTGGTCAATGCATAATGTTGTAAATCCACCATCACTTCATTATAAGAAAACTTTCAATGCCTTAGAAATTCCCTCCTCTTCAGGTATTCATCCCTCTTTCCCATTTCTTAACTCTTAACAACCACTGCTCCTTTACTATCTGTGTAGTTGTATAGTTTTGAGACCATCACACGGTTGACACCACACAATAGAAGCCTTCTCAAACCTGCTTTTTGCATATGGCTCCTTTAATATGTCCTTTGATGAGTATCTGTTCAGATCTCTCTTTTGCCTATTTTTTTAAAAATTTAAGTGTTCATTGTTTTTGTTCCTAAGTTTCAAGATGCCCTTTCTTGTACATTGAGAATACTTTTTTACATTTATTAATTATGTGCGTTTGTGTGTGTGTTCACATGTGTATTGGCGTGTGCATGCCATGGCATGTATGTAGAGTTTCAGGAGTTGCTCCTCTCCTTCCACTTTGTAGGTTTCAGGGCTCAAAGTTAGTTGTTAGGCTTAGAAGCAATCAATTTTATCTACTGAGCCATCTTGCTGGCCTTTTACGTTTTAATATGCATCTGTAGTTTCAATAAAAAGCATATGAAGAAATAAGTGTACAAATTGTGTGAATTAATGGGGTTCATTGTGATTTTTGATTCATTTATAGGGTACCTGGAGGTGCAGCAGCCATATTGAAGCTATGAGGTGATGATAAGCCCTCCAACTAGAAACCAGAATGGAAAAACAGGAGAAGCTTGATCCTTGACTGAATTGTGGATGGGATAGTCCATCATCCCATGGCTGAGACCACCTCCAGATTTCTTGTTCACTGAAACAATTCCTGATTGTTTACATTCCTTTATGTTGAGCTGTGCCTTACTAGTAACTGAAAGCATTTCTAATAGATATTCAGATTACCTGCACAGCAAGGAGCAGCCAGAGCTCTGGGGTTTCAACCTAGAATACTCTATGTGACCATAGATAAGTCTCTTAGCTTCTCCATGAATTCCTTTGCTCATCTGTGTAATGCTCAATAAACGTAAATTGAACCCTGAATGAGGAACAATGGCACTATTGAAGTCATTATTGTCAATCTTATTAACTGATTAAATACTTACTAAAAGTTTGGAACATAGTCTGACACACAGAAACCAGCTGTGGAAGGGTTTGGCAAATGGAATGAGAAGAAAAGCAGTCATGTTTATAGGCTTTCTTTGACATCTTGATCCATCCTCAAGCCTCTGTGGTCTTTAAGCAGAACCTTGACCCCTTCACTACTGGGCCTCATGGACCATGAAACGCCCCCCAAACTCTGTCTCAAAACACCCACACTAGTAGTTTCTTTTTGACACAAAAGACTTCTTAGAGAAGGTTGGCTTGTGAAAAAGGGGCCGTGACCACCAAATCGTGTCAGTAGATGACCAAAATACCCAAAGCAATTCATGCAAATAGATTCAGGACTCTCTGGGTGAGCCTTCTGGAAGGCTCTAGAATTTTTGAAGCTCATTTTTGAAAGGGTCTTTCCACCTGGTGGCCTTTTCTTTTGCACCTCCTCTCATCTTTCTCATTAGAGGTAGAGGGACCGGAGGAGGGTCAGTGCTTGGGCTCTCTGCCCTTTCTGTGTAGTGAGGGACCAGTCATCCTTCACATTAGAGGTAGAGGGACGGGAGGAGGGTTAGTGCTTGGGCTCTCTGCCCTTTCTGTGTAGTAAGGGACCAGGCTACTGGGCATGTGTGAAGGAGCAGGTGTGATTTGGGATCTTACTGTTTGCTACCTCAATGGCCAAGCTTAAGAGAGGTCACTTGAAGTTGGCCAACAAGTTGGCATTATTTCAAAATAGTTCTTGATCTTGGGATGAGAGAACCAACTCGTATGTGTGCCCATCTAAAAATAACTTTTGTCAAATAAACAAGCAAACCTCACTTTTGGAAAGTTCCAGCTGAATATGTGCCCTTCCAACTCACTTCTTATCCTTTCTGTCAGAAACAACTCAGAAAAGGGGGGCTTGCCTTTGAACCACTCTCCTACCCAACCTTCCTGCTTCTATCTGACCTACCTTCCTTTTCAGCAGCCAGGATCCTTTAAAAGTGAGCACCAAAAGATGGGGATTCTCCAGCCATAAGTGTCTTGTCTAGCTTACTTAGAATAAAATCTCTAGATTTATACAGTGTCCTCTTCATGGGTGGTGGTTTATTTTTTTTCTGCCATTTTCCTGCTTGTTCACACCACTCTTTGCCTGGCCTTCTTATGTCATAGATTCCCTGAGTATGCTCTGGCCTTACTGTTTCCATGAAGCAACTCCATTTTCTAGAACATTGTTTCCTGGATAACTATTTGCTTCAGTCCTCACTGTATACTGATCTGTATTTCGATGTCAATTTGCAGACAGGTATTCTCTGCCCATCATCTAAAGTGTGCTCCCTGTCTTCTTTGCTGTCTACTGTATATCCTAAGTCACTGACCTTATTGTACACTAAATCTGTTAGCATTTCTCACCAAGATACAAGCCTAGTGAGGAAGGAGCCATTGTTCCATTGTCAGAAGAGCTACAGAATCCAGGCTGTTCTTCATTGGGTGCTTTTACTAAGTAATGAAGCTCAATAAAATATTTTGACCAAATTTTAAGTGTGATGTTTCTTGAGAACCTTTCAAATCGACCTTGAGACCACTTCTTGAAGAGTTCTGGATATGTTCTAAACACTGGGACCAGAGATGGAGAAATGTCCAGAAGTGGTGATGCTGTGTAGGTGAGTAAACAAACCTTACACTGATTAATCTCCCTTCCTCTGTTCCTAGGTATCTTAGTTTAAGCAGCATCCCCCTGTATGGTAGTTTATGGATAGAATCAGCTTGCCATTTATGGGCTTCCTATTGGAACATGGGGAGCTCTGTCTTTTCCTTGAAGTGTGTGCAGATGGGTGACTGTTGCATGCAGCTCCTGCCTTGTGTTCTTCAAGTACAGCACTAGGGGAGCATTGTGAGGGTGGTGCTGAAGAGCCATTTTTGACTAGCTTTGGCCTCAGATTAGCTCCCAGTCAACAATGGCCATCTTGGCTGTTTAAGCCTTTGGCATTTTTGAATGACGACAGTCTAAGTGATATGTGACTACAAGGGCATGGGAAACCCTCAGTGAGAACCATCCAATCAAGTCCTTCCCAAATTCCTGACCAAAAACATTACAAGCAGTACTAAACAACTGGTGGTTTAAAGCCTCACATTCTGCAATGCTAGGTACTCAGAAATGAAATGTAGACCCCACTGTAATTCTCCTGCATACTAGGCAACTGGGTAAATGACTTTCAGTATTAAGCACATCAAGTTTCTCAGCTCTATGTTAGAAGTACTCATGTAGATGTTGCTATTGATCAGCCTGAAAGTAAATTTTGTTTAAATGCAACAGCCTCCGCAGAAGCTACTCTATTTCTTCCAACCTAGATGCCATCCAAGGTGTAACTCTCCATTAATTGATGCTTACCAAGAGAGAAAGAAATCTTTCCAGTGAAACTACAGCATGTCTCTGATTGTAGGATACTTATCCTTTCAATAGATACTTGTCTGAAAACTGCTGATTAGAAGGCTGATGAGCACAAAGACAAGGCTGAACCCGGATGAAAAATAAAAGTTTGAAGACCCAAGTTTGTGGTAAATGGAGAGATCAGAGGAAATATGGCTTTGTATCAGATTCTCTGATCTGTTGCCCCATTTTACACAGTGCTACACCAAGATATAATACTTCTTGTGATCTGGGGCAAAATGTGATCTCCTTGAACCACTGGCAACTGGAAAGAGTCAAATGACATTGCTTCATGGCTGTTTAGCAGAACTGTACTCTGTGAGAAGGATGAAGTCACATCCCTAAATCAGGTTGGGTTGAGCTGTTGTTAGCAAGAACTTGTCTGTGGCAATAATGACCAGTCAAGTCCCATTTCCTTTTGCTTCTCATGACATTCCTTTTTTAGGATATGAACTGGCATTTCCCTCTGAGATGCCAACCAGAGTGTAGAAGAGACTCTCGTCACATCTTTTGGAGCAGAAATATATGCATCTGAATCCTAGATGTTCAGTGGAGCACAGTAGTTAGCCTAGTCTCAAGGGTCTTCATTGTGTTGACTCCCCTGCAAAAGTTATCCCCTGGGACCAGAGATGTTAAGTCTTTCCCAAATCAACTACTTAATTATGAGAATTTACTTTATTGGAGAACAGAGCTTTCCCCCACAGCACTGTGCTACTACTGGGCATGCTCCCAAGACTGGGAAGAAAAGTCTTTCACCATTACAGCTCTATGGACAGACCAACATAAACATTTTTCTATACAGGATCTCCTCATGCCCTACAATGTAGGCTTTCCACCAATACTGGCAAAACAGAAATCCGTAAAGGCTGAGCACAGATGGGATATTCTAGATCCTTGTTTCTGCACAAACATGGCATTGGCTCCCTGAAGCAGTGTGAATGGTGGCTTCTCTAGGTCACAACCAACCTCCTGACAGTGTCTGTAGCTCTATCCCCACAGCTTGCAGCTTGAATGCCTGGGCACATTTCTCAGTTTTTTTTCATTGCAACATTAAATAAGTCTAGAATCCACACCATCCCCAGACGGCCATAAGGAAGTGTGCTTGCTTAGATTGCATATCAGGTACCTAGTGATATTATTTGAAAGGCACTTGCCGAGTGTCTTCACCAACCATCTCCTGTAGCCTGTGATCTTCATCACAGCCCTTTTTGTGACTCATCTGACAGTTTTACAGCTGAGGAAATGTGCGGAGGTTCTTGTCCATAGCTCTGTGGCTGCGGTATGACAGAACCTGGCTGTTATCTGACCTCATTAAAACCGACTTCTTTTGTGTCCATGAGCTGGATGCTAAGAAAGCTTTGTGTCTGGTTCTTCTGATACAGGAATGTCCTTCTTTAACCCCATGTAATAGCTGCATTTATTTATGAGATACAGGGTGATGATTTGGGATCTGTGTTCATTGCCCAACAATGAAGTCTGGTATCATCCATCACTTCAAACGTGTCATTTTTCAGTAATGTGAACATTCCAACTCCTGCCTCCCAGCTATGTTGAACTACAATGGACTGCTGTGACCTGTGTTTACCCTTTGGTGTCATACTGTGCCAAAACTTGTAACTTATTTCTCCTGATAAACAACAGATACATGAACACCACGGAACATACCGCACACATAAAAGGTAAACTCTTGCCATTTGTGGCAACACGGATGAAGCTGGAGGTCAAAAATATTAAGTGAAGTTAGACACAGGAAGATGAGCATTCTGCGTTCTCACTCACATGTGGACTTGGACATAAAAAAAAGAGAGGCTACTAGAGGCTGGGGAGAGTAGAGAATGGAGAAGGAAGGAACGAGATTGGTTAATGGGTTCAAAAGTATGCTAAGGAATGTACTTTCAATTTGTTCACGTCCATATGTACTCTTCATTCATAGGGAAATGATCCTGCTACCATCGGGTCAGTAAACTTGTCAATAAATTTCCCATGACTGTTCATTCCGTGTGCCTCCTTTTTTTTAGGTTCTTCTCGATGACAGGTTCTTGTCACTACAAATTGTCCATTTATATAATGAACCAAAACGAAAGGTAAAGGCAAACTCTTAGGTCCAATTCTTATCCCGTTAATTTCCCAAACCAAGGAGTGTTACATACAGATGTGGCTGCCTTTATCTTTAGCATCTTGGCTTGTAGGATCTCTCACTAATCTTGTTGCTACTTTTTATGGATGCTGTCTAGCAAAGAAGGCCAGGAAATCAAGCATTTCTGGCCATTACTTTGGCCTTTGGGACCACAACAGCACAAGACTCAGCAACAGGTCAAGTTCACCCTATACTGGGTAGTGTAGTGAAAAGTTGGTGTTCCTCACAATAAAGAGTAAATGCACTCCACTATGATAGGGTCACTGAAATCTTTTTACCCAGGTATGAATCTCATAAAAAAACCTAGGAGGTTAATTCATTGCATCAGATGGATGTGGATGACAAATTCAAGACTTTAGTCCTGTCATTTGCCTTCATACACTACCATCATAACATGGAAAGACGTGTCAGG